CGTGAGCAGAGAGAGAGACGTGAGCAGAGAGAGAGACGTGAGCAGAGAGAGAGGGACACGAGCAGAGAGAGAGACGTGAGCAGAGAGAGAGACGTGAGCAGAGAGAGAGACGCGAGCAGAGAGAGAGAGACGCGAGCAGAGAGAGAGAGACGTGAGTCCGCGTGTCTATGGTCCGCGCTCGGAGCCCAGACTGCAGTGCGTTCACTGAGCTGTCAGAGCGGGGGTCACAGCAGCTGCTCTCGGGGCCAGAGCGGAGGATGTAACGTAACGTTCGGTTTATCAAAACATATCACAATATTTAACGTATAACACTAGTGAATTTCACCTAGATTTTTTCAGACATTAAAGACAAGATGTTATATAATAATTGTTTAATGAAAAAACAATTTTGCCACAAGCAACCAAAAGATGTGCCTCAGACAAGAATCGAACCTGGGTTCTCCAGGTCCCTGTATTTAATGCTATCCATTCGGCCAACAAAGCACCTCTGGGCTAGACAGGTTTGCACGCAGTCTTATACCTGAGCGTCTAAGTCGCTGGCAGAGCTAAAGCGGACTTAGCCTGCCACCTTGTGGCGATAAGATGTACTATTTTTCACGCAGCTGCGTGATTCCCGAGAAGCGTGAATGAAGACGACAAAACGGAATGGGACCTACTGTAGGCTAGTTTAACCCCCCATAGGCCAGATTAACCCCCCCTTTCATTTATATAAAAAATACAAGCAATATTTTGTTTTTTTTCTTACTAAATACATTTAGGAAAAGATATGATTTATGAAATAAACTATTCTATATAAAACTATAACAATGATAAAACTATAACAATCTCCTAATATTCCCATACTGTACTTCACAGTACCTTAAAGCAATATGCCCATTTTTTTAAAGAATCCTTATATTGAATACAAGTATATTTAGATATAAAACAATTTACAGAAACAAAAGGACTGCACTCTATGAGTACATCACAGGTTTTTTATTCAAAACCAACAGTTGACGCATCAGCCGTCACACCAAGGAAGCCAGATGTAACTCTTCCATGATCCAATGAGAAGTCAGGAAACACAATGAGCCAAAGAAACTCTTCGACACCGACACAGTTGATATGCAGTGAAGCAGCGGCTGCAGAGTCCCAGACACTGACACGTTTGTCACGTGACCGGTTGTTTTGATACAGGTCCAACGCAGTGTTTCGAAGCAATTTGCTTCAGAGAGAGCGACACAAGCTCCAAAGCATTGGTGTCATTTGCCCATAATTAATATCTACTCAAATGTTCTAAAGGTTTTATTATTAAGTAAGTAAGTAAGAAAGTAAGTAAGCTTTATTTATATACCGCCTTTCACAGACCAGAGTCACAAAGCGGTTTACAATTGTTATTTTTTTGGGCACTTGTCCTCTCACCTCTCACCTCTCATTAAACGGTACTTCCGCATCGGAGAACACGCTCAAAGCAGTTGCATAAAGTCACAGGAGCATGAAAACGCATATGTTCACAAGCACTATGTCCCCCATTGTCAACCCTGGTTTAGTCCTTGTATAGCCAGGGGTGCACATAAGTGGTACGCAGGTACGCATGCGCGACAAATTTCAGAAATGCGTACTATCACTTGAGTTAGGGTGTATTCAGACCTGAAAAGTCCTTTGCTCCGCTTGCTTGATCCGAATCAAAAGCAGACCAAACTTTTTTCTTTTGCTCCGGTTCGTATTCAGACTGTCCTTTTTGCAAGTGAACTTTCTTATATAAACATATAGACACGTGTGACGATCGGCGCTCCTATTGGACAGAGAGAGCTCACGGAGGATAGACGCGGAACCGGCAGAAAACATTGAGGGCTCGTATGTGCAGCATGTCTGCTCTGCCTATGTTTGCTCCTTTTAGAGCAAAACCACCTTCAACATCAACAGCAGCAGCTCATATGACACAGGCCAAACACGTTGTTTTAAATATTGGAACAGCGTCGGAGAATGCGTGAGGAGAAAGCCGAAGGAGACTGTCTGCGCTCCGTGCCCTGTTCCACACATGGATCTATTATAATAATGGCCCTGTTCAGCATTGTGGCTAAACCATGGATCTATAATAACCACGGGACAAACAGACGCTGAGGATCAGGTAGGAACCAAAGAACACAATTCACTACATGATGCGGGATATTTCTTTTTGAGACGTGAGTCAAACAGTGTCAGGTTTTTAATAATGCAAAGTATTTGAAGATGCTGCCATTAACATCACTGTATACTGTGAACAGTTTTAACTCCATAAGCCTGTTGCACAGCGTCTCCTCACTGCTCCAGGTCTGCCCACGGCTTAGTGTTGTTGTGTAGCGTTAGCAGCATAGTTAGCCGCTGCGTGGCGAATTCCTCAGTTTCTGTCTGCGGTGCATGTTAAGCCCAAAAAATGCTCACGTATCTTGGAGTTGTGTCGGATCGACACCGGATGTATTCAGACCTGATTCGGTTTGGACCAGAATTCGTTTGGAAGCGGACCGAGACCACCTAAAAAAGTGGGTCTCGGTTTGGTTCTTTGGTCCGGACCTGGATTCGTTTGTGTGTATTCAGACCTGCATAAAAGCTTCGGATCAGAGTTCCAAACGAATCCTGGTCCGTTTAAAGTGGAGCAAATGTGCAGGTCTGAATACACCCTTAGAAAGCTTCTCAAATAGTGGGGCGTGGTCCAATAATATCCTCCGTTCTGACCCCGGGAGAAACTGTGGCTGCCTTGACAGCTCAGCAAACGCGCGCAGACCATAGACGCGCCTACAGAACCATACACACGTGCGCATTGCGTGCACATTACACGTGCGGGTCTTGCCTGTCTCCCCCGTCTCCTCCCCCCTCTCTCCCCGTCTCTTCCCCCGTCTCTCCCCCATACCTCTCCCCAGTCTCCTCCCCCCTCTCTCCCCGTCTCTCCCCCATACCTCTCCCCCGTGCCTCTCCCACGTCTCCCCCAAGTCCCACGCGAAGCGCAGCCAAAACTCACTGAAAAAGCTCAGGTACCTACATTTTTGCTTGCATTGAAAATGCATGTTATTTGTGCACAGAAGTAAAATGTTGTGACCAAATCAAACAGAACAAACCAAAATGGTCTTGTTTTTATTTTACTTACTTAAGAAAGAGCCCTCTGAGTCATTATTTGACTCACATTATAATTGGTTGTTTTATTACCTTTCCTGTGTGAAAGATGTATACTTTTTTTATTATTCTACTGAAGGATTATAATAATACACTGCATTTTTATGTTTCTATCTGCTACAGAGGCCGAGATATCAATCATTCTGTAGAAGTTGAATTTCAGTATAAAATTGTATTTAATCCCTATTAAGAACCGTGCGACAAATGAGCACCAAACACCATGTCCTGGTACTCATCTGAGTACCTCACTGAAAAAGTTATGTGCACCCCTGGTTATAGCTCCTGTTTTGGCTGTTTACAAGTATGTTCAGTCTGCTCGCTCAGACCGCTAATGTCCCCGTGACTACTTTGCAGCTCTCTGATTGGTCGCTGCACAAATATCCCGAGGAAACGCTCAGCAATATTTATCTCCTGCGTGCATCAATTTTCTGCTCCTGCGCCTCTGCCGCTCCTTTGCCGCGCACGGACTGCTACCGTATATTTTATTAATATTAGATAAAACAAGAGGGGGGTTAATCTGGCCTAAAGGGAGCTAAAATAGCCTAGGCCATTTTAGCTCCGGGGCTATTTTATACCCACGGTACAAACTGACCAGGGGGTATAAAACGGCCTGTTACACCAGCCAGAAACTTTTGGGAACCAGTGACCTATAGAACAGAACACCCAGCTTTAGCTCTGCTGTCTGTAAGTGGTGATGAGACCACAGTTGGAACAGTCTTCCTAAAAATGTGGGACAGGCTTCTTCTCGGACAATGTTCAAATCCAGGTAAAAAACAGTGTCTTCTGTTTAGCTGTTTATACAACTGAGAGATTGTATCTTTACTCTTTTTAATGTACTGTGATAATAAATGATTTAATGCCTTGTGTGATTGTTTGTATCTTGTTTTGTTAAACACCTTTGAGTTTCCGTGTGTTTGAACTGTGCTATACAAATAAAATCTGCCTTGCCGAATGAGTGACCTGCCATCTCTCAAAAATTACACCTTGTAGCTTTAAAAAAGCCAGTTTGCCTCAGTTCGCTACGTTTCTCTCAAACCAATAAGGATGGTGTAGGTGTGTCTGTGTCTGTGGGTATATGTGGAGGAAAAACACCAATCTCCCCGATCTTTACGTGTTCATGTCACTGTGTGACTTCAGCTCGGCCAATCAGAGTCGAGCTTATTTCTTGACAAAGTCAGGACGCAGTTCAGTGAAGAGAAGAGTTTGAAGAGAATGGCTCCTGTGCAGATGGTCTGTTGCCTCCTTCTCGTACATCTGGTCACGGGTGAGTTTCTGTCGTTGTGTCTCAGTCTTATCTCCACCCTGCTCTAACTTCTAACTTTTCTTTCGTTCAGTGAAGAGCAAAGATTCTCAGCCGTGGACAGATGGAGGTGCAGCAGTGAAGACGACGCTCTTACCAGTGGCACTTGGAGAGAATGTGACTTTGCCGTGCTCCCGTAAAAACAATCGAGGGAGACTTTACTGGTACAGAGTCTGGACAACACTGCGGCTGTCGTTTCTTTTTACTTCCAAATGGAATTTTACGGTGACTTTGCCAACAACGATCGCTTCAAACTAGATAAAGAAGACAGTAAAAACAATCTTGAATTATCCGAGGTCAGAATTTCGGATTCAGCTGTTTATCATTGCCTCAGTGCAGTGGCTCATCAAATCGACTCGGCGTCCATCAAACAACGTCAAAACCAGTGGAAGCAGGACGCGCTCTGGTCCTTCGCTGTGAGGTTGATTCTGGAACGTGTCTGGGGCCACACAGGGTCCATTGGTTCAGACAGTCTGAAAAGTCTGCAGCAGTGCTCTACGGCGAGGATCAGTGCCAGAGCAACAAAATAAACCCGACAAACTACTGCTTCTATAACCTCCACATTCATAACATGAGCTCAGAGCAAACTGGGACGTACTACTGCGCTGTGGACTTCTGTGGACAAGTCCTGTTTGGGAACAGAACCGAAGTCAGGATCAGGGGTGAGCTACATCTTTGGAATAAACCCAATAACAGTTTGACGGCGTCTGATCATTCCCTTTCTGTTCATTTGTAGAAGTCTCAGACATGTTGGTCTTTGTCTTGAGTGGAGTGTCTGTGTTCAGCACCAGTCTGGTTGTTGGACTCTCTTTCTGCTTGTGCACAAATAACAACACAGGTAAGAACTGTGGGCGACGGTGGCTCAGTTGGTAGAGCATTGGCATTTGGGCCCGAAGGTTGTGGGTTCCAGCCCACCATGAGACCTACATCACGACTCCCACTGGTGACTGCTGTTGTTGTGTCATTGGACAAGACACTTAACCCAACTTTGCCTGAAGCCCCCGCTGAAAGATCAAGGCTCTGGTGGACTCACCACCTGCAGGAGGATCAGTGAGGGGCTGGTACTATGTGTACTGGGTGCAGCTCTGACTGCCATCCCCCCGACCCAGAAATGGATTAAGGGGAAGAATATGGATGGATGCTAAAAACTGTTGAAGATTTATTTCATGTGGTTTGAATAAAACAAGGGTAAAACAAAGAGACAACAGACTAAATCTGGCTTAGACCTCAGCAAACTAACTTTAAAGGTGAAACAACCTCACCAAACCTTATATTAAAGCAAACATAAGTGACCTACTATAATCATTTATCTTTGTCATTTACACTCACAGGGGTTTTTGAGTTATTCTCCTCTGACCAAACACAGACAGAGGAAAGAAGCAACTCAAGCAGCTCAACTATTAATGGGATCATTTTAGATCAATATTGAGATTTTCAATCCACTAAACATATAATAATAAGAATCATAAACGCAGGAGGGTCTAAGGACAGGGATGATCCAGGACATTTCTAGACAGTGGTCGTCCCGCTCCCTATGGACCCATGGATCCTTTGTGTTTTATTATTATTGCATTTACTGTGTTCGAGCTGTTTGATTCTCTGATCTGTTGTTTGAGAAAGAAATGTTTTGTGTGTCCTCTTTAATTATCTTTCTCATGTTGTCTTAATAGCATCTCCTCGTTCTCAGTTTTGACCCATTCTTCTTTGCAGACAGATCCCTGAAAGGTGCTGCAGCTAAGGCAAAGGTATGGACTTGTTTCCTGTGGGTTAGTTTCAATCACATGAAAACCAAAGGATCACAATGTGTTTTTATTTTGCTCTGTATCAGGATGTTCCCAAACGTCTGCAGTACAAGGCCACAGAGCAGGTGAACAGAAGGAGACAGTCACATGACACATGGAGCGAGTGCGTCTACTTCAGTGTGGAGCAGTGAGCGCAAAAGAGCTTTTCAAAGATGCTGTAGTTTCTCCAGATGCCATTGTTTTCCTTTTATACATCGCTTTAGATAATTATCAACGTTTCAACAAATATAATGCATTATATATATTTACTTTGATCAGCAGTGTTTACAGAGCAGCTGTAGATACTGGAGGGACTGTTGGACGGTGGAAGAACACTTTAAGGTTCTCCTCGACCCCCGTCCTCTAGTTTGAAGACCTTGGGACGGATACTTCCATCTCTGTTGGTGACCTCCTCGGTGCAAGAACCTGGGAGTGGATGAGATCCGTCCTGAATGTCTTCAGTCTCTAGAGCAGAGATGTCAAAGCAGTCGTCAAAAGGCCTGTTTGGCTGAAGGATTTAATTCCAACCGAGCAGGAGTTAAGACTGAACTTTTGAATGGAGTCTGGTGTTTCTTGCTTGACTGAAATGAAATACTTTAGCCCCACTGGTCGTTTGAGAACAGGTTTGACAGCCCTGCTCTGGATGGTGTGGAACTGTCTTGGCTGACACGTCTCTGCAACGATCAGGGCCAGTGCCTTTGGAGCAAATCATGGGGTGGTGTCTTTGAGAAGGAAACCGGAGCGTGTATTCCAACTACTGTAGGACCACTGCTCAGTCTGTTCCATGATCCTGAAGATGGCCGACGCACAATCTGATTCCACAATGTCACTCACTATTACACCAGGACTTTAGTGCAGGAGTTCCAGTCTCAGGTCTTGTTCTCAGTGAGAGAAGGATGGAGCCTGAGATTGAGACGGTTTAGCATCTGCAGGGATGCAGTCGCTGTAGAGGATCATGCTTAATATTTTAGTTTTTAAACCGCTCTTTATAGGAAATGGGACTATATATAATTTACATGACTGATGTTCTGTTTTAAATATACCCTTTATTATGCTGTGTAGATTTCCTTTATGCTTGTGAGTGTGTGATGTTATGTTTGTAGCATCAATATAAACTAAACTGATCACAGCAGTTGTTTTCATTTTCTTACAAAGATTCAGGTGTGATCTGAAACCTGTTCAGGAGCTCACGATACTGTCTGGGACTATATGAGATCAGAGCTGAGCGTGACCCAGTTCATGTGGTTAACCAACGTCTGGAACTTGGCAATACATAAATGTATGTCTTTTATTTAGTTTTTGTTAAATATGAAAAATAAACATTCTTAAATATTCATTTACATGAGTAGAGTTGTCTGTTGTCATCATCCTGATGCTTTTGAGCAGTGAAGGAAAGAGTTTGTCAAAGATGGAACAAAGACAGTAGTTTGAACATTATTTCTTGTTGTTTTAGAGATAGTGTAATAAAATGGGCCATCTTAAAAGAATAAAGGAGGATTTTCCCAAATTTGAGGAAAGAACCGCCCTCTCCACTTTTTGAACAAAACTCTTTGACCTTATTTGACGAGCACCATAATGATTGACAGTTGGGAGGACCAATAGTCTTGATGATCCACCTGGAAGTAGAAAATCCTCCTCTACCTTTGACATAATGCTGTTTATTTTTCCACTTTGCAACACACAAAAACCTCGCTTTTCTTAAGATCAAACAAAAGTGAGTTTCTAAAGATATGTCACTTTTAGATGATTTGATTTCTTTCTTAAATGAAGTCCTTGAAGCTGGAATAACTGGAACTTATTATAACATGTTTTTCTCATGTTTGTAAAGTGACCTCTTCTGTGACGGCTGTAATCTGTGAACATTAAGAATCTGTGTCTTTGCAGCAAAGTGGTTTGACTCAGGAAGTCATACAGCTTCAGAAATAGACAAAGCACAGTCTGAACACCACAGACTGGTCTCACAGAATGTATGACTGTAATTCATTATCAAACTGAGCCTGTGTGTGGACACCAATGTCTGGAGGAAAATGAGGAGAAATAAAGCTTTATATGTATTTGGGGTTGACATCTAAAGGATCCATGTGTGGAAAGATAACTCCTCTTTCACGGCACTAAAGAATCTCTTCCAACAATTCCAAAACTTTTCATCATTTGGTTTGGATTATGTTTGATTTAAAGGGACAGTATGTGACTTTAAATACATCTACATCTTGTGTCACCAGAAAACAGCTCACATCAACTCATCACAAATGACACTTTCTGAACAACAGTTTAAAGTGGAGATGAGGTTCAGATTGGAAACTGTGCTGCATCAGCAAAGACACTCAGCAGTGGCTTCCTGCTTCTAATATCTCACCTGGAAGCGTCCCTTGGGTCAAAATGACCCGCTACAGACAATTAAAAGTATAAGAAGAATACCCTAAATATTGGTTAAAAAGACAAAAAAAAAAAAATCTGAAAAAATAAAGAATTATCCCTGTGACGGGTAAATTTTACCCGAGGATAGCACGAGGGTTAAGAATTGGATTAGGTTTAGGGTTGTGCAGTAACCCTCCTCCTCCCCATCACCACCAGCCAGAACAGAGAATCCTCAGGAGAACCTCAGTAAAAGAGAGATCTACTCAAGTCCAGAGGGAGAGTCAATTTCTCTCTCTGGACTTGAGCAGCACAACAATGTGAGCAGCCTGTGATGGTATTAATACAACAACATGAGATTGTGCTGTAGACTGAAATGCAGCAAATCAAATCCTTTCATCTTGTCGGCCAATCAGATGCGAGCTTGGCTGTAAAGAGCAGAGGCGGGATCAACCATTTCCAGTCTACACCTGCATCTCAACATGGGACGACCGTTCAGAGTTCTGCTGGTCTTCAGTCTCGTGTTGGTCTTCAGTCTAGTGTTGGCCACTAACAGTGAGTTTCTTTAGAATTATGAACATCATCATCTGTTGAAATGAGTTAAAATTAGACTTTGTTGTGGTCTTTTAATTTCAGATCAAGTGACTCTTCAAGAAACAAACCATTTCCTCTTCCCTGCTCCTGGAGACAACATCACTCTGCCCTGTTTTAACAAAGATGACAAAGAGTTTGAATCAACGTATTATTGGTACAAGCAAAGTTTAGGCAAAAAGACAGATTGTCTTATGTCTTTGACTAAATATCAGCGCACTCCAACTTTGTGTGGAGAATTCAACATTAGCGGACGATTCTCACCGGGAACTCAACACGGGAATAAGGAACTCCATATTACACATGTCCAAACATCTGATTCAGGGATTTACCTTTGCATACGGTATTATCTTTACAATCTGAACATCACTGAAACGTTTAATGTTGTTGTGATGAGAGAAAACCTGACTTTTAAGATCCAGCAGTCAGAAAATGAGGACATAGATTGAGGAGAATCTGTGAGTTTAAACTGTAGCGTCCAGACTGGGAGCTGTAATGAAGCACACAGCGTTCACTGGTTCAAGAAGTCTGAAGAATCCACAGCAGGAGTTCTCTACAGTCGTGGTAATAGTATTGATCAGTGTGAGAAAAGCACGGACAGTCCAACAAACTCCTGCTTCTACAACCTCCACATTCATAACGTGAGCTCAGATCAAACTGGGACGTACTACTGCGCAGTGGCCGCCTGTGGACAAGTCCTGTTTGGGAACGGGACCAGGGTCAGGGTCAGAGGTGAGATACATCTTTGGAATAGACCCAATAACCTATAAATATTCATAAGTCTGACATTAGAAAAATCCCTTTCTGTTCTTTGGTAGAAGTCTCAGAGATGTTGGTCTATGTCTTGAGTGGAGTGTCTGTGTTCAGCACCAGTCTGGTTGTTGGACTCTCTTTCTGCTTGTGCACAAATAACAACACAGGTAAGAACTGTTGAAGCTTTATTTCATGTGGTGTGAATATAACAAATGTACAACAAATAGACAGCAGTCTAAATCTGGCTTTGACCTTCAAACACACCCTGAAGTTTGGTGTGTCCTCTTTGATTATTTTTCTCCTGTTGTCTAAATAGTACCTACTTGTCCTCAGTTTTCACCCATTCTTCTTTGCAGACAAATCCGTGAAAGGTGCCGCAGCTAAGACAAAGGTATGGACTTGTTTCCTGTGGGTTAGTTTCAATCACATGAAAACCAAAGGATCACGATGTGTTTTTATTTTGCTCTGTATCAGGATGTTCCCAAACGTCTGCAGTACAAGGCCACACAGCAGGTGAACAGAAGGAGACAGTCACATGACACATGGAGCGAGTGCGTCTACTTCAGTGTGGAGCAGTGAGCGCAAAAGAGCTTTTCAAATATGCTGTAGTTTCTCCAGATGCCATTGTTTTCCTTTTATACATCGCTGTAGATAAATATGAATGTTTCAACAATTATAATGCATTTTATATATTCACTTTGATCAGCAGTGTTTACAGAGCAGCTGTAGATACTGGAGGGACTGTTGGACGGTGAAAGAACACTTTAAGGTTCTCCTCGACCCCCGTCCTCCAGTTTGAAGACCTTGGGACGGATACTTCCATCTCTCTGGCTGAGGTCAGAGGTCATTGGTGACCTCCTCGGTGCAAGAACCTGGGAGTGGATGAGATCCGTCTCTAGAGCAGAGATGTCAAAGCAGTCGTCAAAAGGCCTGTTTGGCTGCAGGATTTCATTCCAATCGAGCTGAAGTTAAGACTGAACTCTTAAATGGAGTCTGGTGTTTTCTTTCTTGGCTGAAATTAAATACTTTAGCCACACTGGTCGTTTGAGAACAGGTTTGACAGCCCAGCTCTGGATGGTGTGGAACTGTCTTGGCTGACACGTCTCTGCAACGATCAGGGCCAGTGCCTTTGGAGCAAATCATGGGGTGGTGTCTTTGAGAAGGAGACCGGAGCATGTATTCCAACTACTGTAGGACCACTGCTCAGTTTGTTCCATGATCCTGAAGATGGCCGACGCACAATCTGATTCCACAGAGTCACTTACTATTACACCGTGAACTAAGTGCAGGAGTTCCAGTCTCAGGTCTCGTTCTCAGTGAGAGAAGGATGGAGCCTGAGATTGAGACGGTTTAGCGTCTGCAGGGATGCGGTCGCTACAGTGGATCATCCTTAATATTTTAGCTTTTAAACCGCTCTTTTTAGGGAATGGGACTATATATAATTTACATGACTGATTTTCTTTTTAAACATAACTGTTATTATGCTGTGTAGATTTCCTTTATGCTTGTGAGTGTGTGATGTTATGTTTGTAGCATCAATAAAAACTAAACTGATCACAGCAGTTGTCTTCTTTTTCTTACAAAGATTCAGGTGTGATCTGAAACCTGTTCAGGAGCCCACGATACTGTCTGGTACTATGTGAGATCAGTTTTTATTCACTTGTATTTGGTTAAGAAGTATATGTTAAAGATGAAGAACCATACTTTGTGCTTAAATATTCATTCACGTGAGTAGGGTTGTCTGTTGTCATCATCCTAATGCTTTTGTGTAATCAAAGTTTAACCTCATTTATAATCTGTACATCGTGTTCTGAGGAGTCACAAATATGAGCAGTGAAGGAAAGAGTTTGTTATAGATGGAACAAAGACAGAAGTTTGAACATTATTTTAAAGCTTTTTTTATTTTCTTGTTTGTTTTTAGCCTGGTCGTACCACATCATAGTAGAAATTACATTTCGTACTAAGGTCTGGATTTGCTCCCTTGAGCTCGGTTAACAGGTGGGAGGGGTTAACTCCTTTTGCAGATTGAAACCATTGGATCTGAGTTTACCGTGGCTTATGTAGTGCGCCCGAGTGACCATTTAGCCTAGCTTTAGCCATTTTGCCGCTTACGGAGCCTGTGGGGCATAGCGCCACAATTTTTGCATGTTCGCTAAACATTCCTCTTGCTCCAGCTTCAATGTTTTGATAGAACCGGAACGGAATACTTTGCTATCGCATTCTTCGCCAAACGACATCCTGCCCCTAGACCGCAAACTCTTGACGTCACCCACAACTAACTACAACACCCGCCTCCCGCGCTCACTGATTGGTCGGATGGATTTCAACCGATTGTAATCACAAACACAGGGACCAGACCCAGATGTTACATGCAGTGAAATGATGACTGACCGGAGTAGACGGATGGATAAGGCCAGGCTAGTTTGTTTTAGAGCTAGTGTTATAATATGGTCAGCACTAGATCATATACGGAATTGGGACGGAAGCGGAAGTAAATATAATAAACTACCTATTCATGCCTAAACTTAACCAGCCATTCCTATAAAATAACCCCAATCCACCCTTAACCCTAACCATCTTAATCAGACACCTAAAACGTAACCAGTCACCACAACTAATTCCAAAGTAGGATTGTTACTTCCGGTTTCGTCCCGATTCCGTATATGATCTAGTGCCGACCGTAATAAAACGGGCCATCTTAAAAGTATAAAGGAGGATTTTCCCAAATTTTAGGAAAGAACCGGCCTCTCCACTTTTTGAACAAAACTCTCTCATCTTTTTGGACAAGTATGTATCACCAGAATTATTGACAGTTGGGAGGACCAATAGTCTTGATGATCCACCTTGAAGTAGAAAATCCTCCTCTACCTTTGACATAATGCTGTTTATTTGCTCACTTTGCAACACACGACAAACCTTGCTTTCTTAAGATCAAACAAAAGTGATTTTCTAAAGATATGTCACTTTTAGATTATTTGATTTCTTTCTTAAATGAAGTCCTTGAAGCTGGAATAACTGGAAGTTATTTTCACATGTTTGTCTCAGTTTGTAAAGTGACCTCTTCTGTGACGGCTGTAATCTGTGAACATTAAGAGTCTGTGTCTTTGCAGCAAAGTGGTTTGACTCAGGAAGTCATACAGCTTCAGAAAGAGACAAAGCACAGTCTGAACAGAGAGTTTTGGCCACGACAAAAACAGAATGCAACACCTTAGACTGGTCCCACATGTGTTTTCAGAAAACAGGTCACATGAACTCATCATGTTTGACATTTTCTGAACAGAAGTTTAAAATGGAGGTTAATCCTTTAGGTACCAGGGATTTTTCTGAAAGCGCTCATTTCTTAATTTCAAAAAGCTATAACCTTAAAGTGATGAGAGATAGAATCTTTCTGTACAATACAAAAAGATTAAAGATGGCCCAAAGTTACTTTAAGCATTAAAAATATTCCAACTGCTTTGCATATTCTGATGTCATATGACGGTGGCATTTATGACTTTAGAATTTTCATGAAATGTTTTTGGTTTTTCAAACTTACAGACCTACGGATCACTAGGACACGAACACAAACAGAACTCACATTGCACCAAACCAAATGTTCAGGGAAATAGTAAAAGCAAATCCTTCCTGCCCCTGCTGTGAGCAGACTGTCCCTGCTCCTGCGTTGGCCCCGAGCTCTCTGTTGTCTAACTAATTGTAACCCGCCTAGTTAAAAGGGTTTATTATTATTTATGTAGAAAAGTTTAGTTTAGATTTTTATTTTGAAAATCGGAAGTTTTATTTTGCTATAAACCGGAAGTAGTATGCAAAAACCTGAGTTCACTCGACAATATGAATGTGTTACACTAAAAAAACAAGTCACACTCACTGAACGTGACTGTGGGCCAGATAAATAAGCTATTTTATGATACTAAATTCATTTTAAGTAATTTAAAATGGATACAAGCTGTTATTTTGTTATTAAAACTGATGTATTTCATGTATTTTATTTGTGAGTTAAAAAATCCTATGTTAAAAAGGGTTAAAGTGATACAATATATGGTCTATACATTATACTATTCAAGTTAGTGTATTTTCAATAAATAAGTTATTTCCATTGGTAAAATGTGGTATTACAGTTCATAGAGATATCCAGATTTGATAAAATTTTATATTTTGACTAAATGGTACTTTAATTACATGTAACTAAGTTACCCATCTGTAACTTGATTTTATTTTTGAAAGTTACTTTTGTTGTACAACACTTTATTTTTTTAAGAACCTAATTGCAATTGCATAAAAAGAGAATGTACTATCACACCTGTTTTGTAAATACAGGTCAGGTCTTTTTGTGAGGCCGTGATACAGAGAAATCCCAGCCTTGGAGTACGACGAGGTTGAGGGAAAGAATCATCGATGGCGAGCCTCCCAGTCGAATTCTGAGTCCTACCACGGTTCCTGCAGATGCTGTGGTAGGATTCTGTCAGTCCCACTGACGGACACCAACAAGAGTCTTCAACAGTCCACGAGTACCTACATTCCCTGACTTGACTATTTCCCCTGACTATATTGACTTGACCATTGAACACAAATTCCGGAAAGAACATTTTTTCTACAAAAACAATTTTAGTTCTTAGTTGGGCCCATATTTTTTTGTTAAAATTGTATGTGCACTATTTTAATTTGCTGAACTAAAATTCACCTTTATTTTAATCTACTTGTGTGCCGTGTTATTGCTATCCTCAGCTCCTACGAACCTAGAGGTCCAACGTGTACATACCTTGAAGTGGGTTACACTAATACAAGACTAAGGCTTCTCCATCACATACTGTCCCTGTGATTATGGGGAGGCACAAGTAGCAGAGGCAGTCCTGATTCTGCTTCCAGACTTGTTTTCTGCAAAATGAGAGCCTCCTAATCTCCATATGGACCTCGACCCGTGAAACACAGTCCCTGCAAACACTGGACACAGGGTCCACAGTTTGCGCTTGGTGCTTGGACTCACTCGCTTCACTGTGATTTCTGCAATGATTCAAAGACTGAAACTCTCTCTGTGCACAAGCTCACTGCTCTCAGTCCTCCCTCTGCTGCTACATCAGCAGTTTGCCAATATGTCACCTGGAAACATTTAAGCACTGCCCTGCTTTGTCATCGAGCTTTCATTTTGTGCAGTAACCCTCCTCCTCCCCATCACCACCTCGTCAGTCAGAACAGATAAACCTCAGGAGAAACTCATTGAGTCAATCTCTCTCTCTCTCTGGACTTGAGCAGCACAACAATATCTCATAGATCTCACAACTTATTTACTCCTGAATGTTTCAGAGCGTATGGGATGGTATTGATACAACAACATGAGATTGTGCTGTAGATTAAAGTGCAGCAAATTTTAATCTACAAATCCTGTCCTTCTGTCGGCCAATCAGATGCGAGCTTGGCTGTAAAGAGCAGAGGCGGGATCAGCCATTTCCAGTCTGCACCTGCATCTCAACATGGGACGACCATTCAGAGTTCTGTTGGTCTTCAGTCTAATGTTGGCCACTAACGGTGAGTTACTTAAGAATTATGAACATCTGCTGAAATGAGTTAAAATCAGACTTTGTTGTGGTTGTTGTGATCTTCAGCTCAAGTGAATCTTCATGAAACAAACCATTTCCTCTTCGCTGCTCCTGGAGACAACATCACTCTGCCCTGTTTAAACAAAGATGTTGAGTTTAGAGGAAGGTATTATTGGTACAAGCAAAGTTTAGGCAAAAAGTCAGTTTGTGTTTCGTCTTTGGGCAGATATCAGCACACCCCAACTTTGTTCGGAGAATTCAACAGCAGCCGACGATTCTCACTGAGAACTCAACACGAGCATTTTGACCTCAATATTACAAATGTCCAAACGTCTGATTCAGGGATTTATCTTTGCATGAAATTGTACCTAATCATTCTCAGTATCACGGAAAGCATTACCATTGTTGTAATGAGACAAAACCTGACTTTTAAGATCCAGCAGTCAGAAAGTGAGGACCTATATCGAGGAGAATCTGTGAGGTTAAACTGTAGTGTCCAGACTGGGAGCTGTAATGGAGCACACAGCGTTCACTGGTTCAAGAAGTCTGAAGAATCCACAGCAGGAGTTCTCTACAGTCGTGGGAATAGCAGTGAGTTGGATGCGAGAAAAGCATGGACAGTCCAACAAACTCCTGTTTCCACAGCCTCCACATTCATAACGTGAGCTCAGAGCAAACTGGGACGTACTACTGCGCTGTGGCCGCCTGTGGACAAGTCCTGTTTGGGAACGGGACCGAGGTCAGGGTCAGAGGTGAGATACATTTTGGAATAAACCCAATAACCTGTAAATATTCATAAGTCTGACATTAGAAAAATCCCTTTCTGTTCTTTTGTAGAAGTCTCAGAGATGTTGGTCTATGTCTTGGGTGGAGTGTCTGTGTTCAGCACCAGTCTGGTTGTTGGACTCTCTTTCTGCTTGTGCACAAATAACAACACAGGTAAGAACTGTTGAAGCTTTATTTCATGTGGTGTGAATATAACAAAGGTACAACAAATAGACAACAGTCTAAATCTGGCTTTGACCTGCAAACACACCCTGAAGATTGGTGTGTCCTCTTTGATTATTTTTCTCCTGTTGTCTAAATAGTACCTACTTGTCCTCAGTTTTGACCCATTCTTCTTTGCAGACAAATCCGTCAAAGGTGCTGCAGCTAAGACAAAGGTATGGACTTGTTTCCTGTGGGTTAGTTTCAATCACATGAAAACCAAAGGATCACAATGTGTTTTTATTTTGCTCTGTATCAGGATGTTCCCAAACGTCTGCAGTACAAGGCCACAGAGCAGGTGAACAGAAGGAGACAGTCACATGACACATGGAGCGAGTGCGTCTACTTAAGTGTGGAGCAGTGAGCGCAAAAGAGCTTTTCAAATATGCTGTAGTTTCTCCAGATGCCATTGTTTTCCTTTTATACATCGCTTTAGATAATTATCAACGTTTCAACAAATATAATGCATTATATATATTTTCTTTGATCAGCAGTGTTTACAGAGCAGCTGTACAGGAGGCTTGCGCCTCCTGTACTGGCGACCCCGCTCCCATCTCTGTGTGGAGTGAGTGGACCAATGCCCAAAAATAATAACAATTGTAAACCGCTTTGTGGCTCTGGTCTGTGAAAGGCGGTATATAAATAAAGATTACTTACTTACTTACTTAGCTGTAGATACTGGAGGGACTGTTGGACGGTGGAAGAACACTTCAAGGTTCTCCTCGACCCCCGTCCTCTAGTTTGAAGACCTTGGGACGGATACTTCCATCTCTGTTGGTGACCTCTATTATATTAAAAAATGACGTGTTCAAAATCCCTTATAAAGATGACCATGATTCAGAAAGTTAAATTCAAAAAGGTTTATTTCCCTAATACAAAAAGAATCTAACACAACGACCTGGACCAACTTTAACTATCCCTTATTCCCTATATAAAGTATAAAGTATGATTTTGGTGGGCGCTCCACGCAAACTCACACTGCTGTCCCTGATCCAGTCTAAAGAAACTCTAACTCACACATTCAAGCTATTTCCTTAAGTAAAATGTGCAGGAAGAAGGGGCGTGGTATCAGCCAGCTTCCGGGGTCCCGTGGTCCGCCTCCCTCCATCTGTCTTCTCCCGTCTGCATCTGAAAAAGAATCCCTGCCTCTCTAGCCTAACGTCTCTGGTCCAGCTGTCTCTTAGTCTGAGATCCATCTCTGTGGTCTAAACAAGTGGTAGACTAGCAGGCTCCAGTGTCAACCCACTCCTGATGGAGTGGGTTTAATAATGCAACAGTCAGCCAAAATCCAAACAGAAGAACCCATCTGTCATTTAGCAGGTCCCCCAGAAGACCCCTAAAATTAACTTAAAAGGACTGGCCTGCCACTCAGAGGTCGATAGACATTCTAAAACACATGGTTTTAGAATGTCTCTTATTTATAAATACAACATTCCCCTCTCTTGGCCGCTATTAAAAAAAAGGCCACACATTTCAATAACCTTCCTCAGGCGACGGGACGGGGGAATCCTCAACCAATGCAAGCATTTGACCTCTCAGTCCAGGGTTAACAGCGGTGTCTATAGCTTTAACACAAAGAGAACGTATACAAGGTATACAGCAGCATCCTACAACCATTATTATTGCAAAGATGGCCGCAAGGCTTGTGATAACAGACAAAATTACATGCTTCCACTTCCCCAAGATGCTGTCCAGCCACGCCTCCAGTGGGTTCTCCGGGACTCCAGAAACGTCATGCATTTGCTCTGACAGCATTTTGAGACCAGCCAGAGCTTTGGAAACTGATCCATCTGGATGTGTGTTATTTGGAATGTATACACAACATTCTGTACCAAATAGACTGCAGACCCCACCTTTCTCTGCTAAGAGCATGTCTAGAGCCACTCTGTTTTGAAATGCTACCAGAGAGGTGGCCCCCAGCTGCTCCGCCAATCCCTCTATTGCGTCCCTGGTGTGATTGGCAAGCCTAAGCATAGTATACCAAATGAAATTAATTCTATCTACATTTTTGTTTGGCGTGATAGGGAAAATAGCGGAAATTATGGGAATATTTTCGAAACCTGTTGCAATTTGATCTACCAGTTTGAATTCCTGAGGGACTCCACGTGGAACACCTATAGAGTCCATGTAAGTTGGATTATCTTTCCCAGTATCTAGGAATGGTATTGCTCTTTTAAATCTATGCAGTGGGTGGGGACTGTCTAGGGAGGCTTATGGCCAATTATGGAAATGGGCATCATTAATCGCACCATTGCACAACTGCCTGTAAAATTTTTTATTAGTCTATGTCTAAGTTTTAAATCTCCACACAACCAATACAAATCACCTCTGGTCCGGGTCATGGGGACCGGACTGGGCAAGGTCACGTTGTTGACACACCAGTCTGCTGGAAGGAACCCCCACTGGAGCCGCGGCCTCGTCCCTCCATTGAGTGAGTGGAAACAGGTGTGTAATTGCTTTTCCTGTGGGAAAACATAGGGGGCTGAATTTCTGAATCCAATTCTGGAAACAATACTTCAAACATTGAACAGTTGCTAGGGACTGTCTTTGTCTCCTCAGTCAGGTTCTTTTCTTGCCAAAACAACTTTATCATACAATTATAACCATCTACATCTTCTGGGAAAAGTGGAGCCGGGGCTGTATACAAAGTGGGACGTGCAGTGGAGCACACAACACAATCGTCAAAGCCAGCAGCCGCTGACATGTGTTCCACTGTCCACAACCAAGCGTTTCTATCCCCATATCCAGTTGCTTGTTTTAACAATTCAGAAACAGTCCAGTCAGCAGTCACCTGTACGTTCTGTTTGTCTTGCCATACTTCACTATCTATGGCCTCCTTGTCTAGCTCCTTGTCCTCGGGTAGGGCAATTGAAATCCATTGTCTAATGTCTCCTGGATAATGTCCAATAACGTAAGTCCCATTCACATCAATCCCACAATTTTTCACAGTGACTAGCACCGTTGTTTGTGAGTGGTCTGTAGTCAGAATCACTCGTCCCTTCAATCTGTGTTCATTATTATAACCCCAATCAGGACCTGTATTGGATATAACATACTCCCAAGCATCACAGGTGCAGTCCACCGATGCTCTAAAGCTTTTTCCATGTCTCTCATATTTACATGTTGACGGTGTGTAACACAGGTAGAGTGTGTAGTCAGGTCGAAAGGATAAGGGAAAGATTGTTGCCATTGGTATGTGGGCTGTAATTGTCGCACCCACCGGGCATTTTACTGTCACAACCGTAGGTAGAGAGTCTCTAACGCTGCCTTCTCCTATGGATCTTTTATTTCTGTCAGTCTTATTGGACCAAAGACTGGATTGTGTTACAAGTCTGGCCCTGTCTCTTAGCTGTGTGTTTTCTAACACTTCCCATGTTAAAATTCCCAGGACCACGACCAAACCAACTGCAGCGATAGCCCATAGGATGGCTCTCCCTCTTTTGGTCGTGGGCCAGGGCTCCCTGTCCCAAGGCAACATATTAAGAGGGAGTGTAAGCGTGTGTGTGAGTCACTGTCCAACCCGTGAGCGTGGTTACGAGGGTGGGTCAGATGGTCTCGTATGAGAGAGATGAAACCACTTGTTCCCGTGTCCCTTCAGTTGAACAGCTTTGCGAGTGCGGGCCACCACTTCAAAGGGTCCGGTCCAGCGGGGCTCGTTCCACTTCCTTTTGAACACCTTCACACGGACCCAGGCAGGTGGATCCTCCGAGGCCTCCTTCTCGCAGAGGTCGAGACTTCCTTCAACCTGTTGGGAAAAACTAGACAACATTTCTCTCAATTGTTCCCAGTACACCCGCACTGGGGGTGTTGGGGAGTCGTCTTTTGTGAAAGGCACCACCCTGTTTCCTGGTCCTGGCATAGGCCTCCCTGTTAACAGCTCGTATGGGGAGAAATGGTGAATGCGGTTAACAGAGTGCCTTGCTGACAACAGGGCAATAGGCAATGCCTGTAGCCAATTCAATTTACTCGTTGCCAGGATTTTAGAGAGTTTACTTTTCAAGGTCTGATTCATCCTTTCAACTCGGCCCTGGGATTGAGGATGGTAGACCGTTCCAAATTTATGTTTTAGCCCCAGATGTTTTTCTACCAATTGCAAGTGTTTGTTCCTGAAATGCGTCCCATTGTCAGACCTTATTAACTGGGGAAAGCCATGCGTTGGGATGTAATGCTGAATTAAGGCTTTGATTACAGAGGCAGCATCCTCCTTTGCAGCAGGATATGCCTCAGGCCATCCCGTAAAGGTGTCAGTGATGACCAACAGGTACCGCTTTCCTGCGCACCTGTTAATCATATCTGTGAAGTCCATCACAACATGTGCTCCAGGCCAAGCAGCAGGTGTGAATTTTCCTGGGGAAACAGCTGAGCAGGGCGATGGGTTATAATTTTGACATATTTGACAGGACCTTGTATAATCTTGGATCATGCTTGTCTTAAAGGGATGCCACCATTGTGACATATTCCTGAGCATCTGTACCTGACCCACATGGGCTAGCCCATGTGCCTCAGATAAAGCCGCTCGTGAGAGGTCCCCCATGGGCAGGGCGGGGCGGCCATCAGGGCCGTACCAGATGCCAGTATCTGGATCCTTCTTTGCCCGTTTTTGAACCCACATGGATATTTCTTCAGGAGCTGCTTTTGTTTGGGCCTCAGCTAAAACCTGAAGGGACAGATCGGGCAGGCAGTCTGCCAGGTCTGGCCCCTCGTCCCGAACCACAAACACTCCTGGAGTACTGACCTTGTAGTTGGCAGCTTTCTTTGCGGCCTCATCCGCAGCCTCGTTTCCCCTGGCCTCAAAGTTGTCTGACTTGGAGTGCCCTTGGCACTTGATGACGCTCACCTGTTTTGGAAGCTGGAGAGCGCTGTCCAGCCTCTCCACCAGGGCTCTATGTGTGATGGGTCGGCCTTTAGCAGTCAAGAAGCCGTTTCTTTTCCACTCGGAGAGGTTGAAATGGACAGCCTGAGTAGCATACGCAGAGTCGGAGTAAATATTTACAGATTTACCTTTAGCAAACTCCAAGGCGGCGCAGAGAGCCTCTAGTTCTGCCGCCTGCGCTGATGGTTTGTCAGTTAAAACACCGCTGTTTACTGTAACAAAATTTTCACCGTTAAACTGACAACTGCATACGCCGCTCTCAGGCTGCCATTCCTCTCTCTCCAGCAACACCCATCTGTGAAAAGCTGTAAGTCGGGGTCCTGAAGTGGGTCAGTCTGGAGGTCAGGTCGCACTTTCAGACTGTCTATTACTCTTACACTGCAGTCATGAGGCTCACCCTGTCTTGGCATGTGGTCAGCCATGTTAATGCCAAGAGGTGTAAAAGTTATGTGGGGCTGAGTGAGCACCTGTAAGAGCCGTGACTGTCTCAA